CCAACAACACTTTACTTTCTCCGTTCATTTTTACTTACATGTCTATAATAATATAATTATTATCATGGTTATATTATCATATTATAAGTAAAAGTGAAAATCTATTTTTGAAACAATAGACTTAACATCAAAACTACTAATTCAATGAACTATGTTGATGTCACGCCCCGAGCCTACACCCTGGGCGGGACCGGCACCCGGAGACCATTTCTGGCCCCAAGCGAACCCTTGGCCTGGCTTTCTTAACTCAGCGGAAACCTCAACAGAATAACTCGATGCAATGCAATTTTACAAAACAACTTAACTTATAAAATATGGCCATAAAGGCAACTCGAATCTCAAAATAAAATATTTACATATATATATATATAGATGAGAGACTCAAAACTAACTGACTAACTGTCTGTCTATGAAGCCTCTAAAATACTGATGTGGATGTTGGGACAGACCCCGCAACATCCTAATAAAACAAAAACTAACACAAAATAATTGAGTCCTCCGGAATGCAAGGAGGCTCACCACTGACTCTGGAGTGCTTCGTTGGATCAACGACGTGCAGGATGCTGATCCGGGGTACCTGAATCTGCATCATCAAATGATGCAGGCCAACTGGCATCAGTACATGGAATGTACAAGTATGCAAGCTGGAAAACTAAGCAACAAAGGCTAGAAGGAAAATCTGGAAGAAACTGAACAGCTTACCTAGCTCAACTAAACTCAACCTGACTGACTGCTTTCAATATAAGACAATCTAAAACAAGTGCGATATAAAGAAAGACTGTTTAAAACATGTTATAAACTCTGTGTGTATACAAAGATACAATAAGCCTGAAAAGTATATAAAAATACAATGAACTGATGTATATAAAAATACAATAATCTCTGCATATGAAAATACAATAACTGCTGTGGGAGTTTCTCTAACCGACAACCATCACATAAGAGCTATAGTGATGATACAGCGATCGACCTCACGCTGCCAGAGCATCTTATACCCGGCCAAAGGTATAAGACCTGAACTGCCTAATGGATCCACTAGTCTAATATGAAAAGGATTCATCTAAAAAGTATGATCCTTTTCTACCCATGGTGGCTAACATGGTTCTATGGGGGCTGTGGGTTCTTTGAATGCTCCCCCAATTTGGTGCTCGATACTACTCCTAAAAATGTACTGGCTCTTATGTTTTTAAAACATATTTATTCCTGCTGATATGAGATAATTACTCAAAAACTAGCCCGAAGGCCCCTTTGGAAATCTCAGTTTCCAACCTTATTCAAATGTAAAGACATTTCCTTAAAACTTCTTTGGGAATACATAGTTCCCTAATAACTTTGAGAAACGAACTCAACTTTAAACTCATGACTTAACTTGAAACTGAGACTCTTACTCGACTTGAAACTATCTCTCCTTGAGTCGGAATTATGAATTCAAGGTGTTCGATCACATGTTATGGAGGGATTCTTGAACGCTTAGACGTACTTTGGAGTGTCGGAAACAACTGTAAAACATAGGTTTAATACTTTGGAACATGCATGAGAAAGTGAGAAAAGAAATGGGGAAACTTGGCTGAGACTTCAGATTTCTGGTGACACAGATGGCATTTACGGACGCCATCGACGGACCGTGGATGGACTTACGGTCCGTCCTGTAGGTCCGTAGATCGCGACAGAAACTTCCCCAAAATTCATTTTTTTTTTTAAAAAAGACTAAGTGTTGACCTACGGTCCGGACTTACGGTCCGTAGGTCAGGTTACGGACCGTAGGTCGTGCCCGTAGATCGATGCCCCAAAAACCCAACTTCTGTCCCGATTGACGGTTGACCAGTACGGACCGTCAATCGATCTACGGTCCGTAGGTCACGCCTGTAGATGGGGAACGATAGCCAAAATTTGCTGATGATCGATGGTGAATCAACTTCAAAAGGGTCAAAACTCTTAGAATCATAATTCCCTCAACATACAATAGGTTTCAACTCAATACACAACCCAATCATGTCTCACAACGGACAATAACTTCAACAACAACACCAACAACATCAACAACAACTAACAACTTCAACAACTAAATCCAATCTTTTCTCAAATCATAGAATAAGCTTGGTGTGTGTGAGGGAAAGGATCAACCCACACAAAAACTCACATACCTCGATAGGGATCGCCCCCGACGAACATCCACAATGATTTTGACTAATCTTGTTGATCTCCTCTTTCTTCTCTTCTTCTTCTTCTCCTTCTTCTCTTCTTCACTCTCAAGAACCCTAACTCTTTCTCTTTCAAAAACATGGGACAAAATGATCCAAAGATCAGCCTAATACAACAATGTAGTCTCAAAAGAAAAAAAAAATGTGAAAAGACCAAAATGCCCTTAAATTTCCGGACGGATTTCCCTTCCAACTGCCCAACTTCTAAAGGGCATAACTCCCTCATACGAACTCGAAATTGAGTAAACTCAGTGGCGTTGGAAAGATCGTTCCAAGGGCTTTCCAAACATAATTGGAACTACTCCTGGATCATCCTGAGGTAGGAGTTATGACTGCTCAAAGTTGGCCAAAAACTCACTGATTTCCACACTTAGCCAAATTTCCAGATTTTTAAATTCAAGCTTCTTCAAAGCCACCTCAAATTGTCGGATGTTACAGTTGATGCCCGATGTTTTAAAAAAATTAGAAAGAAACTCCTTCATTTGATATTAAAAGAATAAGAAATGGAAATACAAACAAGAAATATCTTACCCCAATTATGTGCCTCTTTTGTATTTGTTTATTATTATTGTCTCTCCCACATCTTTATCTATTTATTTTATTAGAACAAATAATAAATAATGTGTGTATTTAAAGTCTCTGTCAAATGAAAAGACAAAAGAAATTATTCAAGAAACAAAATAAGAAAAATAAATTAAAGTTCCCACACACTATATATAGAAGATTTATGTGTGAAGCAAAGTTCAGAGATAATTGCATATTTCTTTGTTCTCTTCTTTTCTTCTTTAATAGAAAATCAATACCTAAATTCCAATGCTAAGAACTTCGGCGAAGCATATCAATGTATTGGGGATGAATCATTTATGAAAATTTTAAATGATCTCAAATTGTCACAGAAAAGAGATCCCCAAGAATTTATAAGGAGTGAATGGTTGTGATTTAAGACTGAAGAAACATGAAGGTAGATATTGTTGTGACTATTCGTAGGTAATTAGTCTTTTTTTAATGAATAAAACATGTAGGTTAATTAAAGAGTATTAATGTTCTAAAATGATATAAATAATATTGATGTATGTATGTGATTAAAATCATCAGAGGAAAATATAAGTGTGAATTGATGAATGATTTGCTACAATTTGTTCACCAACTCTTTCTTATGTGGTACCTCGAATTTCGTTGGGTTTCGAACTTAATCAACTATTGCAACTAATAGTTGAGATTTTTTTAAGGAAAAGAAGAGTAAAAACCTAAAAAAATTGTAGTTTAAAAGAGAGAGGTAACCCGTCTACTTATAGCTAACAAATATTAGTATGAATATGTTCTTATTGTGCCTTATTAGATAAGTCGCAACCCTTCAAAAAAGTCCCTGCTCATCGGTAAAGACATAACCCTTTGAAAAAGTCACAACTCATCGGATAAGGCACAACCCTTTGGTAAAGTCACAACCCTTTGAAAAAATCACAATCCTTTGGAAAAGTCACAACCCTTTGGAAAAGTCACAACTTATCGCAAAAGTCACAATCCATTAATGTGAAAAGGTATCAACTTTTAATATAACATAATTAAATAAATTGAGTATTTTTAATTTGGGGTATTATAGTAATTCAACATTCATGTTTGGGAGTTCATGCTTGTAAGGTAGTATAGAAGATATAGATAGAAGACAGATAGATATAGATAGATATGATATATGATACGGGTAATGCGCTTTGCAGACAAAAAAACTAATGCAATTATAGTGACGGTGCCCAAGGATGACCATGGCCGTTGAGAATTTGATAATGGATCTAGAGGTGTTTGGAGAGACGCTGAACTTGTTCTTGTACAATAGTTAACAGTTTCACATTTTATGTATCAATTAAACAAACTACTAGTACATCAGAGTATATGCTTTCTCAAACAAAAATGATTAAACTTCAATCATGTATACGATATACCTCAACTTTAGCCACATAAAACTTCAAACATGGTATAAAGTTACATTTTTGTCGAGACTAACTTTGAACGCCATATGTCCGAAGTTGTTTGAAATAGTACATATGCAAAACAACAAGTCCTTTCCAATTGTAACATAGATATGTACGTTTACTTAAACAACAAGGTATATAGCCAAATAATGAACAAACTTGGTCTCTTTCTGTTTGAGCATATGCTGATAATGTATAAATGTACGAGTAGCAATGTACCAAATCATTTTTTATGACGATGGTGTCCGGAATAACTTGCGCATTTCACTTACTACTTGTTACCTTCCATTAGCATAGGGTAACTTTGCGATCAAAGTTTTTAGGCAGATTGGAATCATCCAGTGTCTTTTGCTTCTGACTGAGATTTTGATCTTGCGATGTACCAGAGTTAGCTGAAAAATCCAGAAATTAACTTCATGAAAACCATTGTCCAAAATTGAAGGATTAAAAGAATCTTACATGCCATTAGAAATAGAGTAGGGAATGAACTGCCACAAGATTCGTTAATAATAGCAAATTGAGTACTGAACCAGGATTCCAGAAATACGAAAGACACAACATATAGACTGCAGTAACAACAATATCTATCTGGATATATCAGCTTAACAAATAGGCTGCAGTAAATCTGAGCTGTATTGCTAAAGGCAGAGACTGCGCATGCTTAAAAGATTCTTCACATTTTCGTGGTTCAGGAAAAAGATTACTTTGAGAAGTACAAACGTTTTATTTACCTGATCTTATAGCTTCTTTTGCTCAAGTGTTTTGTGATAATTTCTTCTGTTTTCTTCCCCAACATTAACTATGTACTGAATGCATATTTTGACTTGATAGAATGTTGAAGTATCAGCATGATTCACATGTATTGCAACGTGTCTCCAAACATTTTTTCTGTGAAAATGTTTATTACGATGACTCAACAGACCAGCCAAAACCAAGGTGGCGCTTTCGGAATTCCTTTGAGGAAGATCTTGCTTCTGCTCATATGACATATGATGACTCTTACAATAAGAAAATCAATTCGGTGAAAACTGATCTGAGGAAGACCAATCTACAGCGCAGGCAAATTAATGTGAGTACGCAACTACTGCCTTCAAAGTTATTTAAAATATGAATCAGAGAGTAGTACTGGAGAATGTCGGACATCTGTTATACAAGATTTTACTTATTAGAGTATGGACAAGATAACCAAATTTCGTACACATGGCAAAAAGTACTAAAAAGTAACATTTAGTGAAAATTTCCTGTAATGATGGAAGCTGCCCACCCAAATAGCAGAGTGCAGTGTTCACTGGGGTTTTATACTGTCTAAATGAGGAAGGAGGAGAAGCTTAACAAGTCCCTTCTTGGAGATAAATTCCTTCCGCTCAGTCATTGCTTTGGATGTGTTCTGTAGGAAGTAAAATGTAAATATAAGTGGGTTTATTTCTTATTTTCTTGTGTTCTTTACCTAAATAAACAAAATATTATCCTTAAAGCATTTGTATATAATTTAGACAAATACCATGGGAGGTGGGGGTGTGGAGGTAGGGACGCGACGTGGAGTGGTGAGGGTGAAATGAGGTGTGTTGGAACTTGGAGGTGAGAAAGAAACGATCAATGAAGAACGCCACTCATAGAACTTGTTTTCCCTACTTTTGCTATGGACGTCATTTTTCTCATTTTCAAGGAACTTGTTTCCAAAAATTTTGATCAGCGGAACATGGAAAAATTAGAAAACATTTTCCAGAAAATATTTTCTTCCATACCTAACGCACCCTTTGCCATAGCTGAATATGCAACTTTGTAAGTTATTTGTTAACTGGAGTCTTTGTTCATAAATGTAGTTGAATGCAGGAGCTGATGTTCTGGAGGCAATTGAAGACCCATTTGACTGCATATTTAGGTCTTCAGCAAGTGTCCAAGATATTTATCATCCTGACACATTTAGCTCACCGCCTAGAAGGCGTAACTATAACCAGAAAAGGTCTCAGCGCAGGCATAGGATGCGTCACAAGGAGAACATGGATGTTTGAGCTTTCTTCAATTGACCAAGTAGCCCTCACAAATGCCCCTTGCATGTACCTGAATTAATGCGAAAAGTAGAACTATGTGGGCGTCTTTCTGTGTTGCTGCTCTCTCCTTGATACACGGAGTCTTGCATCATAGCTGAATGAGTCATGCACCAAATCTCTAGCTGGAATTGGTATTACCTCCAAGCTGCTTGTATATATTATGGCTCCATTTGCATTTCAGTTATTCAGGGATGATGTACAGATTTCAACATAAGCTAGTTATAGAGGGTTAACATAGGGGAAGTTAACTGTTCATCTCCATTTGAAATATTTGGATGAAATCAAATTTGAGTTCTGAATTCCCAGCATGTTTTAGTTAGAAGAAATAAATTTATGGTATAAACATTTGTACTTGTTACCAATGTTTTGGTAATTCCTTTTCAATTTCTGCAAAGTTTATCTTGTCCAAGGGTATAATTATAAGCAAAATTTTATATATGTCACGCCCCGAGCCTACACCCTGGACGTGGCCGGCACTCGAAGACCATTTCTGGTCCCCAAGCGAACCCTCATCCTGGCTGACTCCAAGCGGAATACTAACTTAAGCATACAAGAGCTTAAAACTGAATAAGAGTTTATAAACTCAACTTTATAAATCTTTAACTCAAAAGAAAACTCTGTATAATAGAATATATATACAACTCGCCATAAAAGGCAACTTTAGTCTTCAAAACATTTAACAAAATAAATGAAGAGACTTCTGAAACTCTATTGTCTATCTATGAAGCCTCTAACTGATAAAGATGGAAGCCAGGACAAGACCCACGACCTCCTAACAACTGATACAACTGAAAGGTAAATGAAATCCTCCGGAAGCAAAGAGGCTTGTCATAGCTAACTGGAACTCCCGGATGTATCAACGAATCTCCTGTTGATGATCCTGAATACCTGTGTCTGCATCATAAAAAGATGCAGGCCAAATGGCTCAGTACGTGGAATGTACGAGTATGTAAGCTAGAAAGCTAAACAACATAGGCTAGAAGAAAAACTGGAATAAATTGAATAACTTACCTCTTTTCAAACTTTCTCAACTCAAGGAATACCCAAAACTACTCAAACTTACTCAACTCAGAAGATAGATACTGGACTCAGAGACAGATACTCAACTCAAAGATAGATACTCAACTCAAAGATAGATACTCAACTCAAGATAGATACTCAACTCAAGGATATATACTTAACTCAAGATATATACTTAACTCAAAGATACTTAACTCAAGGATACTCGACTCTTGAATAACTGAACTCAACCTGACTGACTTCTTTCAATATAAGGCAATTTAAAACAAGTGCGATATAAAGAAAGACTGTTTAAAACATGCTATAAACTCTGAGTGTATACAAGGATACAATAAGCCTGAGATGTATATAGAAATACAATTGAACTGATGTATATAAAATACAATAATTTCTGTGTATGAAAATACAATAACTGCTGTGGGAGTTTCTCTAACCGACAACCATCACATAAGAGCTATAGTGATGATACAGCGATCGACCTCACGCTGCCAGAGCATCTTATACCCGGCCAAAGGTATAAGACCTGAACTGCCTAATGGATCCACTAGTCTAATCTGAAAAGGATTCATCTAAAAAGTATGATCCTTTTCTACCCATGGTGGCTAACATGGTTCTATGGGGGCTGTGGGTTCTTTGAACGCTCCCCCAATTCGGTGCTCGATACTACTCCCAAAAATGTACTGGCTCTTATGTTTTTAAAACATATTTATTCCTGCTGATATGAGATAATTACTCAAAAACTAGCCCGAAGGCTCTTTTGGAAATCTCAGTTTCCAACCTTGTTTAAATGTAAAAACATTTCTTTAAAACTTCTTTGGGAATACATAGTTCCCTAATAACTTTGAGAAATGAACTCAACTCTTTACTCTCTACTTTACTTGAAACTCGATACTTTGACTCAACTTGAAACTCTTAACTTGGAACTCTTCATTCTTTACTTAACTTGAGCCTTAAAATGAAGTTAAAACGATCAATGAAGACTCTTGGAAAACCTTAAAGACTTGTTTTGACTTACTTACTTCTAAGCTTGACTTCACTTGACTTGGAAACTAACTTCACTTGACTTTGAAACTAACTTCACTTGACTTGGAAACTAACTTCATTTGACTTTGAAACTAACTTCACTTGACTTGGAAACTAACTTCACTTGATTTGGAAACTAACTTCACTTGACTTTGAAACTAACTTCACTTGACTTGGAAACTAACTTCACTTGACTTTGAAACTAATTTCACTTGACTTGGAAACTAACTTCATTTGACTTGTAGTTTTACTTGACTTTTGGAAGTACCTTGGAGTGTTGGAAACAACTAGGAAACATAGGTATAATACCTAGGAACATGTATGAAAAAAATGGTAAATGAAAGGGAAGGATTGGTGTCCTTGGCACTAGGAGAGGTGCGACAGCCCAGCCCCTTTTTCCCCAAAAATCCTTCTTTTTCCCCTTGTTTCTTTCCAATTCTAAACCCTCTCAACCTCAAGGTTTCAGCAGCAACACTTAGAATCATAAAGACCCTTATTATACAATAGATTCAACTCAAAAATCACAGCCAGAAATCTGTACTAAATCAGCAAGAACTTCAACACAACACCACTACAACTTCAACAACCAATAAATCTTCTCTTGGAATTAAAAACGAGTTGGTGTGTGGGGGTATGAACCAACCAACACTAAGGATCATAAAATCCCTCAATATACAATAGGTCACAACTCAAATACACAGCCCAATCCTGTCCCACAACCAACAATAACTTCAACAACACAACTAACAACATCAACAACAACTAACAACTTCAACAACAAATCCAATCTCTTCTCAAATCATAAAAACGAGCTTGGTATGTGGGGGGAAAGGATAAATCCACACTAAAGACTCACATACCTGATTAGGGATCACCCCCGACAAAAATCCACGACGATCCTTAGCTTCTTCTTCTCTTTCTCCTCTTCTTTTCCTCTTCTTTCTCTCTTATCTTCCAAGCCCTAACTCTCACTCTTTAAAATGGGACAAAAATGATCCAAACATCAGTCTAACACCTCAATATAACCCAAAGAAAAGATTAGGGAAAAGACCAAAATACCCTTAAAATTTTCGGACTAAACAAACTGCACTGTGCGACTGTGCGACTGTGCCAACAACCCAACTTCCAAAGGGCATAAGTCACTCATACGAACTCGGAATCAAGCAAACTCGGCGGCGTTGGAAAGATCATTCCAAGGGCTTTCCAGACATAACTGTAAATTCGCCTAAATCATTTTGAGCTAGGAGATACGACTGCTCAAAGTTGACCAAAAACTCACTTTTTTTTCCATAGCGAAATTTTCCAGATTCTTTCCAAAATGACTATTTCCAATTCAACTCTTCTTGGAACTCAATGTGCTACACCTAGGGACCTTAACTTAACACTCAAGAAATTTTTTATTCCTCGGTAAAATCCCACTCCACATGAAGGATGGCTCGAGTCTTAGTTCGAAAATTCTCTGGGGTGTTACAATATAGTTGTGAGCCAAATATAAGTTTTAAGTAGTTATATAGTATAGTGTTTATTATTTAATGCAATGAATCAAATCAAGAGCAATAAAATTAGGAACGAGGTTATTTGGGAAAAGGTGGGAGTGACTTTTGTGGCAGATTAGACGAGGAAGAGAAATTGAGATGGTTTGAGCATGTACAAAGAAGGTGCATTGGGAGAAGTTATTAGACATGACATGGAAAATCTTTATATTACCGAAGACATGACTCTACATAAGGAGGAGTGAAGGTCGTATATTAGGGTTGAGAAATAGCAGGGGTGGAGAATTGTCTTGCCTTGCGAAGGTTTAGGCTTGTTAGTGCCTCCTATAGTACTTGCCGTACTCTTGTAGTTCTTAACCTATATTGTTTATGTGTTTTTGACTATTACACTATTTTACTTATATTGTTTATGTGTTTTCGATTATCACAGTATTTTTCATTCTATATCAAACTAAATCTGGTTAAAAATAATTCTCTTGTTTTTCTTCTTTCCGAAGAAATCTCCACTGCCTCAAGCTCGATCCTGTTCACTATTTTAAATCTACCTCCCCAGCTATTTCATTTCTTAGAACCTCTCTTTATAACCCAAAATCCCTTTAAAAAATACAGACAAAAAACAAATGCAATTATCAATCACCATTTTTCTTCTTCTTCTGATCGTTTCAACCCCAACAATTCAGGGTATGAGAGTACATCCTCTCTCCCTGAAATCAAACATTGGAGGAATTCATTCTAATTTTTCAGAACAGCAACAACACATTCCTAATTCCTCAATGAAGAAACTCCGGAGACTTCCTCACGTATTTAACTACTTTCTGGAATTGCCGTTCCGTTCTGACGCAGATGTGGCGGTGGAAGAGAAAGAAGGATTCTTCTGTTTCATGGCGAAAATCGAACTAGAAGGAGCTGGGGATGGACAAGTGAAGGCACAGGCAGTAGAGATTCATCCTGGGGTAACGAAGATCGTTGTGAGGAAGGGAAATGGAGACGGTGATGAGGATGAACAATTGAATGTAGATACATGGAGGTACAGGTTGCCTGCTTCGACTATGCCGGAGCTGGCCACAGCGGTATTTGTGGACGGAGAGCTTATTGTGACGGTGCCCAAGGATGACCATGGCCGTGGAGAGTTTGATAATGGATCTAGAGGTGTTTGGAGAGACGCTGACCAACTTGTTCTTGTACAATAGTTAACTTTTTCACATTTGATGCATCAATTACACAATTACTAGCACATCAGAGTATACGTTTTTTCAAACAAAAATGACGAAACTTCAATCATGATATATCTAAAGTTCAGCCATATAAAACTTCAAACATTGTATAAAGTTACACTTTCTCGAGACTAACTTTGAACACCATTTGTTCGAAGTTGTTTGAAATAGTACACGCAAAACAACAAGTCCTTGCCAATTGTAACATATAAATATGTATGTTTACTTAAACAAGGTATATAATTCATCCACATAATGAATAAACTTGGGCTCTTTCTGTTCGAGCACATGGTGATGATGTATAAATGTACGAGTAGCAATGTATCAAATCATTTTTATGATGATGCTGTCCAAACTAACTTGCGTCATTCCACTGTGTACTTGTTACCTCCCATCAACATTGAGTAACTTTGCAATCAGAGTTTAGGCAGATTGGTATCTTCCAGTGTCTTTTGATTCTGACTGAGATTTTGATGTTGCGAGGTACCAGAGTTAGCTGTAATAATTCAGAAATTAACTTCGTGAAAACCATTGTCCAAAATTTGAAGGATTAAAAGAATTTTACATGACATTAGAAATAGAGTAGTGTATGTTCCTGCCACAAGATTTATTGAGCACTGAACCAGAATTCCAGAAATACGAAAGACAACATATAGACATCATCCTTAGAAAAAATGGTTACACATCAAGCCCAGCAATAAGAATCACAAGAACAATAACAACAATATCTATTTGGATATATCAGCCTAACAGATAGGCTGCAGTAAATCTGAGCGGTATTATAAAGGCAGAGAACCAATAACACGTATTGTTAGCTTCATTAACTTATATTTTAATGTATGTTTTAATGACGACAATAATCCTAAATGATCTGCGCCAAAAAAAAGAGACATCCAAAATCTGTGAAAAGAAGGCATAATCAAGGAAGAATGACTTGTCTAAGATAGATTTGAATGAAGGAAAAAGAGCACACACTAACCACAAGAAAGAACAGGACACTGGGACAAATTTGAATACCTTGATTGAAGGAGAAAATCGCTTGGGTTACCTTAAGAGCAAAACACTGAAAACCAGATAAGAAGATTGCGCAACTTTTCTTCTTCTCTGATCAATCTTAGTGACATTCCAGATCAGAGATTAATTGAAGATCAACGAATTGATATCAATTCAATTCTGTCCAAGCAATGGTAAAGAAGCAGCCAAGCAATATAAAAGCAGATCATCATCACAGAAGTATTAAGCATTAGTTATTGTAATTATTAGTTACGGTAACTAAAACTGTTTTAGAGTATCAATAGAAGATTCCCCTTATTGTTTAGGAGTTCAGGTAGTAGTTAGTTTACTTAAGTTGCTGTAGGTTGTTCTTATCTGTCGTATTTAAAGTTTGGGTACTGAATGAATATGATTATCTTTTGACTACTTTCTTTATCTGATTTTATATGGTATGAGAGCCATCATAACCTCTCACGAGTCAGATTATCTTTTTTCCCATCTATGGCTGGCGAAACAATCCATTCGGTTGTCACTTCTGGTGATGTTACTGCTTCCAACAGCAGTGCTTCTGCCGCTCCCTCTATCGTTCATGTGTTACAATTTAATCCCGCATCTCTGTTACCTATCAAACTGCAAGGTAACCTCAATTTCTCAACTTGGAAAGCCCAACTTGTGATGCTACTCAATAGCCATCAACTTATGGGACATCTTGACGGATCAAAACCGGCACCACCAATGAATCTTATCCACGATAACATTCTACTGCCTAATCTTTGGTATCAACTCTGGTTCTCTCAGGACCAACTGATTCAATAAGCCATGACGACATCTGTTGATCCTACCATTGCGCCAATTATTGCCACGGCTCCATCCGCTCAGAAAGCCTAGGAACTTCTTCACATGGCCTACGCAAATAAGAGCTACACTCGCATTTTTAGCTGGCGAGACCAATTGCAAAATCTTAAGAAAGCTTCTAAAATCCGTTACGGAATACTTACAAGAGGTTCGCGCTCTCTCTGATGCCTCAAAGTTGTTGGATCATCAGTAACAGATGATGACTTATTGTTAAGATTTTAAGCGGACTGGCCCTGAGTACCGTGAAATCTCGGCTTCCATAAGATCAAGGGATTCTTCCTTGAGTTTTGAAGAGTTGTTTCACAAGCTCACATATTATGAGCTTTTTCTCAAGCACCAGGATCTTGAGAAGTTATCTTCCATAATCACAGCTGCTGTCACACAGAAGATGAACATACCACCTCAGTCTAATAGAAACAATCGTCACTTCAACAATCAACAATGGAAACCACCTGTAACTCAACAGTCCAGCAACAACAGTCAGCAAAACTGGATGTCGAATTTGAGACCATCTGTCTGCTGCCAATTGTGCCAAAAATTAGGTCACACTGCAGATGTATGTTATTCCGAATCGCACAGCCATTTTGAAGCTAAGGCCAACTTTGCTTCTGGTCTTGGGTTTTGGATTCTGGTGCGACTCATCATGTCACCACTGATCCACACAATCTTGAAGAGTATACAGGCAATGAGGGCATATCCATGGGTGACTGTAAAACCATTCCTATTACTCATACTGCTTCATCTCTTATACAAGCATCTAATTCTGCTTTTAGGCTTTCTAACACTCTTTGTCCTCCATCAATAAAAAAAACATGATTTCTGTCGCCAAGTTTTGTCAAGACAATCTAACATCAATAAACCAACAAGCTGTAGCTCGCTCATCCTGAAGCAGAGTACAAATCAGTTGCAAATGCGCTTGTCAAACTCATATGGGTGCACAACTTGCTCAATGAATTGCGTATCACCATTCCAAATACACCCACAATCTTTTGTGACAATGTTGGCGTCACTTATCTCTGTCATAATCTAGTGTTTCATAGCTGTATGAAACATATTGGTGTGGACTTCTGTTATGTTAGGAACCAAGTTCAAGCACACCAGGTTCTTGTCACACACACACTCACGCTTGTGATCAACTTGCTGATACATTTATGATTTACCAAGCCCTTGCCAAAACCAGCCTTTGAACAGTGTTGTTCCAAGTTAGGCATTGTTGCACTACACCTAACTTGAGCGGGTGTATTAAGCATTAGTTACTGCAATTATTAGTTACCGTAATTAACACTATTTTAGAGTATCAATATAAGACTCCCTCTATTGTTTAGGAGTTCAGGTAGTAGTTGGTTTCCTTAAGTTTAGCTGTAGGTTGTTCTTAATCTGTTGTATTTAAAGTTTGGGTACTGAATGAATAAGATTATCTTTCGACTACTTTTCTGTTTTATAAAAAGAAGGTTGTGCAACTTCCCTTGAGCAAAAACCCTAGACACTCTTTTATCAGTGTATTCAATATAGTTTACTAGTGAAAAGAAAAGAAACGGAGAGATTAGAAAACTATAAGATTAGAGGATGTGGCCAACAAGTAAATTGGAATATTTCAGGTCAAGGAGTCCACAACAGGCAATCTGTCTAACCATAAACAGTCAAACTCTAAGGAAACCTTGTAACCCGAAGGGACTGGATTAGGCACCACATTGGTGATCTGAACTAGTATAAAAATTTGTGTCAACTGTGTCTTTTATCTCTTTATGCCTTATATAATATGTTGTTTTATCTAATTGTCTAAACTCTAGGGTAGTCGACTTGAAGAAATCAACAGTCGACCAATTATAACTTGACTAACATTCAAAAATAATTTCAATTCACCTCCTCACCCCACACCATCCTCTTTGGTTTCACATACTAATGTGGTGAGACAGATCATGGATGTGACAATCAATTCTATGCTGTAGGGGCTAGGCAGAACTCTTTACGCCAGGAGATGTTATTGCTGCAATTGACCAAAACAGCACCCTACAAGAGATCCTTGAGTGATCCATTCCTTTCTCTTTATGCCGATTATACCAAAGTTCCAAACTCTTAATAAGGAAGCTATTCATTTCCTTCATCTAGTTAGGACCAAGGAGCAGTTGGATAGCATTTAACTGATGCACTGGTTGTGCAATAAATAATTCCTCTTTCATACTCTTTCCAAGGCTCTCCAATTTTATTTTCTGGTCATATTGCAGTTTAGTTTGCACCAAGTGTTTTTGGTAGTTGTTGACTACAGGAAGCACTGAAATAGACAAAACTTACAATGCGCAGATGTATATATATTTGTATCATGAAATAGACAATACTTAAAACAAAATAAACACATTTGCACATAAATATCTTGCTCAAATACAGATATTCAAGTCAAAGTGATAGGTCAACACAAACACGACTATGACAAGGCAGAGAAGTTACCAGTGCTATCCACACAGATTTCCTTTTTGAATGCATCTTGAATGCTGACTCCTTTCATAAGCTGATATGATTATCAAATTGGTCATTCTAGTAACTGTAAACCTCAAAACTGGAAAAAGGATAGCATCATAGGAAACAAAGTACCATTAATCAATTAGCTATACCTTTGCATTGATTGATTCAATACGATGCAACAACTCTTTTGCACTACTTTTTTGTGAGCCACGCAAAATACAAATGCCAACATTCAAAATCTTTTCGATGTCAGCATAAGAAGCAACAGATGTGCAAATGTTTAAAAGCTTCAAAGCATGTGGAACCAAATCCGTCCTTGAATCACAATATCGACAGAGATACTCTGCATCCAAATTGATGCTTCCTCCGACCGTCCCAGCCATGTAAGCTCGTAGAGCACACTCTAGATGGGAAACATGTCCACATATGTGGCCATCAACTACTGTAGCTTCACATCGGATGTAACTGTACCCATCATAGTCCAAAGTGATAAGCTTACGGCAAAGTATACAACAGCAGTCTCCGCAAAAACCAGGCTCACTGCAACAGAGATCACAAAATCTGGTGCCCGTCAAAGGATTTTCTGCTGTTAAACTGCTACAGATTCGGTTACCAGCCTTACAAATTATGGCTCCGAAAGGAGAATCAGACAGTAAAGGCTGCATTTTTGTCCCTGAAGATGTAGTCCTCTCTTTCGTATCTGAGTCAAAACCAATATCTAAATAATGAAAAAAAATTGGCATAAGGTTAGTAAACTACCAGTAGTGGCGGAGCCAGGATTTCAATTATGCCAAGCAGATTCAACAACTTACGAATGCAAAAAAAATCATTTTCCCTATCTATATGGAGTAATTTTTCAACGATGCTCCGTCCCTGACTACGTGCACAGACTGTATAATCATGGACAAAATTCACTTCAAAAATAAAAAGATCCACCAAAAGGGGAGAAAAAAAATATAAATTTGTGTGGACTGACTAGATACTTGTAATGAATAGGAAACCAAGCTCAAATAACCATTTTCTTAAAAATCCAAATTCTTGAGAAAACTCAAAAAGTTTGACTTCAAAATTAGGAATTAAATAGCCTCTACTGATGGGGTAATAAAATCTTGAAGTAAACAGTGGGTAATAAAGATGGGGAGTTAAAAATCGTTACCCAATTGAAGAATCTCGAAAAGCCCCTTTAAAATTTCCTTTACCAAGCTTCCAAAGCTCAAAAATGGTGAAATGAGGATGAATCCCCGATTTTGGAAAGAAGAATCTATCCAAGTCACTTTTACCCTTCGCAATCGCGACCCGATACCTCACAATTGCGATGAGTAATGTTGGTCAACTCATTAATTGACCATCGCAATTGCGACACAAGGCTACGCGATCACGATGCTCAAGATGCTATTGAGATTGCACTATCCTCCATGCGATCGTGAAGCACAAGACCACATACCAATGTGGCAGCGACCAAGAGCCTTGCAATCGCAAAGATTACTTAACATGCATCAGATACAACACATCAGCAAACACCAAGACTCACCAAAATCACCTAATGAACCCTCGGGATTCGTTTGGAATTTCACACACACAAACCATATATGCTACCCAACCAAACTCGACGTTCCAGACTCAATGGAACGTCGGAACACAGATACGAAGTCTCTTTGACCCATTATCCGTTTAAGTCGCAATAAACTAACTTTTACTCAAAAACATTAAACTGCCCTCGAAACCTCTGAAAACTCAACCAAGACCTCACGTAGGACTAAAATCATCCCCCGAATCCAGTGGTGTCATCAAAATTCCAATCCTAGCGTTCAAACTCAGAATGTTGACCAAAGTCAACTCTTGGCCTAATTATACTTAAACTTCCAACTCAAGGGCTCAAATCCACGAAAAGGACTCCATAATTGAAAAAACCTACACTTCTAGACCAAATTCCGCATTCTGGAGCTGATGGAACAAACTAAAGACCCTTTCGATACTCGTAGTTCCGATTGTTGTCAAAAACCACTTTTAACAACTTGAGGTGTCCAAAACTCTAAAACTTCCAAAAGTCTCAACTTTCCAATCCAATTTTAAAACCAACTTCATAAACTAAAAAGCATGACTTGGGAAAACTATCGAGAGGGGCAAAATGATAATTTTTCCAAAAGTGTAACACCCCGTATCCGAAAGAGGAAAGCTTAACAGATTTCAAAACTCCCAGGTGTCATCCACTCGGGCCAGCCACGACCCCTGGTGTGGGCCACGGAGTGTAGGTGGGTCCATGGATGGGTGCCTTAGGAATTGTCCAGGCATGGATCACGGTTGGACCTACGGACCGTAGGTGGGTCCACGACCCGTGGTCCAGGAACCATAGGTCTAGACAAAAGTCTCTGACCATCAACCACGGTTCACCAGGACGGACCGTAGGTCCATCCACGGTTCGTCGACTGGGTTCTTCGGTTGGTAGGTCGGTCAAAGTTGACAGTTAACTCAGGGGAGTTCAGTCTTTTCCTAATTAATTAGTTCCTATACTATGTCATTTTGCCTATATTTAGAACCCCTATATAAGTCTTTTTACCCCCAAATTCACCCCATTTCAGTCAATCTTCCAAACTCCCAAAAGAAAAACCAAGTCCTCCCAAATATTCTCTCTCTAGAACTTGAAGAAGAAGATTTCACCTAGGGTTTCAAGCTAAGGATCCAAATTCTCCATTGAAGATAAGCAATTGGACTTGAGGTATGGTAGTTTTCATCCATGTATCTCTTTCATTCACAAAGTCCCCAAATTCCCCTATTTCAAATGGTAGAATTCCCCAATTAGCTAGGGTTTTCTTCAATCACCATGGGTTCTTTTGATTATTGATCTTAATGATTTGATTATGTTTAAATATGCATGAATTGATGATTTAGAATGCTTTTATGATGTTTCACCTTTGAACCCAAGCAAACCCCTATGTTTTCCAAATTGTGATCTCAAAATGTGGGTTGTTGATTATGAAAGAGGAGTTTTATGATCTAAAGCATGAAGTAATAGAATTACATGAATTTATGATAAAAATCCCTATCTAATGTTTGAATTTTAGATTTGGTGATTGAAAACAAACTTTGAACCTTGAAAGGGCAAAGTATGAGTTTATGCATGATCTTATGGAAATTATGTAAATGTTGTAAGGGTGCTTTGAGAGTGAAGTGTCCAATGTTGTTGTTGTTGTTGTGTTGTTGAAAGGTTACTCTCATAAAACACTTGCAACCATGATGTGAAAGGTTTTCTCACATAGAAAGGATTCTTAGGTTGAAAGGCTATTCTCACCTAATCGAATCAATGGATAAGAGCTATCCTAATTAACTAGCTTGAATTGACAAGATGACATGTCTTTCCATGGATAATGAGAATAAGTAAGAAAATAATATTCCATGGGAATTATGCTTAGCACCGTGTGGATATTGACATTGATATAGAAGCTCTCCCGTTAGTAGAGGCTGGGTTTCTAGAAGAAGTCTCATGAGATGGAAGCTCTCCCGTTAGTAGAGGCCGGGTTTCTAGTAACAATCTCCTTATCCCATAAACTATGTGCCCTCATAGGATGATTAGCTAGTGAATCCATTTAAGCTAGAAGTTCATGGTTCTACCTTAGGCAAGTAGAACAACCCTTCTCGGTGTGGGAGACACCGGTGGTCATGTTTTAGCTCACATGGTCTCTATGTCGGTTAAGGCTAATTTTCCCACAACAAGACGATTAATGAACTAAGGTTACTTAAAGAACTATCACACATGTGTTCAAAGGCTTAAAAAATGATTTAGCTTGCATTGACCATGATGTTATGACTTATGTTTTCTAACCCTCTTATATCATGTTTTAATTGGTCAATTGCATGTCATGAAATGAAATGTCCTTCTTAGCATGTTTTATATGTTTTTATGCATAGCTATCATACTTGGTGCATTTTTGTACTATGCATACTCTTACCTACATTTTTCTCAAATGTAGGGTCCGTCAGGCAGGGTTCCTATTTTAGTGGCTAGAGCTTGGACTTTGATTCTTTATGAGCTTGGTGAGTCCTCATGGTTCGAGGACGGACTTTCCTTATTCTAGTTTCTCTTTCGTATTTTCTTTTTGAGTATGATATATGGGCTAGGCCCACTCTCATTCGATTGTAATATATTACTATGTTGAGACATCAGTTAGACTTCCGCTTTTTCTATAAAACTGTTTTGGACTTAAATGTTGTTTTGCTCTTTATTGCTTTATTACTTTATGTTATGATATGATAAGTGGCTTGTATGGAGTCCTTCAGGGTTTTATACGCCAAGTTACATCTAGGGGTACCCCTGGGTAGTGACAAAAGGTTTTAAAAAATGACCTGCAGGGTCATTACATGAGGTTGTGATGGTTCCGACACATACAGAGAAGATGCACATATGATTTAGTGCAGAAGTGTGAGAGGTTGGCTATGAATGGTTTCAAGAGATTGAGTAGGGGTAGGCGAATGAAACATTAAGGAGATGTGATTAGACATGATTTGTCGCAACTTAATCTTACCGAGGACATGACCTTAGATAGGGGTTATGGAGGTCACAAATTTGGGTAGAAGGTAATTTAGATAGTTAAGTGTTTCCTCACTTATTTCTCTATATTATTAGTCATTGTATTATCCTTGTAGTTTTTTTGTCTTTGAGTTTGGTAATATTTTTTAGAATTGGTAACAATGTATACTTCAACATTAACGATATGTTGGGGACCTTTTAGAAAGTCAGAAAAGAACAAAAAGTGTAATACTTAGAGAAAATGATCAAAATGGTCCTTAAAATTAACTATTCTCCGTTAAAAACTAACGTCTCCCCCAAAATTATCTCTCTTCTCTCCTTGCCCACTCCTCTCTGGTTCTTTACTGCATATTCTTTCTGAAAAGAGGATCTTAGTCCATCGCTTATATATTGATGCCTATTCAAGCTTACACATAACTTTTGCAACCTAATTTTTTCTTCTTCTTTGTTTAAGTAATTTCTTGCTTTTGGGACAACTGGAAAATACACCAGACTCAGTGAAGGGGCAAAAAGAAAAAGCACACCTATTGATTTCATTTTTCGTTAAATTAACCCACTAGCTAATCCAATCCAAAAATCATTCAATTCACCCAAAAGAGATTATAAATTTATAGTAATAAAATAATAGAGAATTTTTTATGTGTGTATATCATCCATAAGCATGGATATGCTACTGCTCTGTAACATTATATTTCAAATTTTATTTTGTGTATCGTCCTCGAAGGAATAACTCTTTCTAAATATTTTTTTTGAATTCAACTAAAATATAGTCATTCATATCATTAACAGAAAATTGAACAAACAACTCAAATAATTAAGTACCATCAATATTTTCTAAAAGAAGATGAAGAGTTGACAGTGAAAAAATAGCAAAAAACTAATATGAATGTAAAATTTATCAATATTTGGGATTAATTAACACAAAAGAGAAGAAAGTTAAAAAATGAAATAATGAAAAAAAAAAATTTAGGAAGAGGATTCAGTTAAAGAGAGAAATGGAAAGGGATGCAGAGCATACTAGTACTGGGAGAAGAGAGAGATAAGTTTGGGGAGGGAATTAGTTTTTAACCGAGAATAATCAAATTTAAGGCTCAGGATCAAAAGGATACTCATTTTACATATATTAAGGACTATTTCAATCAAATGGTATATATTAAGGACTAAAATAATTCAACCCCTATACATGAAGAACCATTTTGATCATTTTCTCTAATACTTACAAGGATCCTAAGAACTATAAAAGTTGATCTGAATCCTCTAATCCTATGTCTTTACACCAAAAATATAGATGTTAATTATGTCTTGAATTATTCCCTTGTGTATTTTAGGAAACTATAATTCCTATTGGTTTAGAAGACCCTTTGTCCTAATAGATTTGGAAAAGGAAAATATTATTCTTATAGGATTGAAAAAACCTTATCCTTATAGGTTTGGCGCTACTTGGGATATATATATATAAGGGATATAGTTGGGGATTCTATGATATGGTACATGATACACAATGTAGTCCTAAGAGATTCCCAAGTATTGTAAGCTTCTTCTTTTTTTCTTTCGTAGTGAAAAACTCTCTCTGCTTTTGTGGGGAGGAGTAGGCCTAGCGGAACCTCATTAAATCCTTGTGTTATTCTTCTTCTCTATTTTTTCATTGTTTGTGACTGTGTGCTAGTTAATCCATGATATTTCTGCAACAATTGGTATTGGAGCTTGGTTAAGGTTTCTAGACATAATCAAGGGTTAAGATGTCTCCATCATCTTCAATAAAGTATGAAATAGAGAAATTTAATTGGTGGGTAGGGGGGAAGGGAGGTCTAGTTTCAGTCTATGGAAGATTAGAATGAGATCGCCTTTGGTGTTACAAGGATTGTGAAAGACATTTGAGGAGGATTTTCCAAAAGTGTTGAAACAAACAGAACAGGCAGACTTGAAGGAAAAGGCTTTGAGTGCGATATTCGTGAGCGTTAAAAGTAGCGTTCTTAAGGAAATTGCTAAAGAGAAATCTGCAGCAACGACATGGAAGAAGTTAGAAGTTCTGTACTCTAAATAATCGCTGACAAACCACCTCTACTTGAAAAAAAGGTTATACAATCTCCATATGAATGAAGGTACATGGGTCAAAACTCACCTTGATGAGTTTAATTC